TTCTCTTTCGTATAAACTACTGTCGTCAAATTGAATAAGTGAACAGAAGTTTCAGAAGCATAACAGTAAGTTATGTAAATTCAATTTTAGATTTCCCCGTCGAATGATTGGACCGAATAGCATTGTCTCAGGTTGACATGTTGACTTCTTGTGCAGATGCTTTGACGATGTCTGGGCATGTAATTAGAAGTTAATTGGTGGATGGTGACTAGCATGGAATCCAGGTTCGAGCCTTTGTGGGAACACCATCACTCACTGGGAAATGCAGGTACATCCAAATGATGAGTCCCGAATAGGACAAAATGCGCATCCTGGATTCCATTGCTAGCTACCATCCACCAAATAACAGCAAGTTAATTTACTCATTCTGTTGTGAAGTTATTATAATTATTTACTTCCTTTATGCATATTTTCAAAATCTATGTGTATATTGTGAATTTATGCAAACAAAGTATACTGATACCTACTGAGACTCTTATTTTAAATAAAAATAACTGAAGATAAAAATGATTTCGATACACATAATTCATTGTTGTTTACGCTTACCTACAATGAGCATTAATCACACTAAGCATGACAACAAAAGCATTAAATAGAATATTCTTTTGAGTTGAATTCACTTTAAAAGGGGTTATATTCTATGTTACAGTGACCGAGTAAATACGACTCATAATAAATTAGTTTCTACGTGAATTTAAAAAAATCAACATCGTTGGGATTCTTCGTGTTCAGTCATTTAAGCAAGCTTAGGTCATTTTCAATATAATATGAGTGAATATATATATTTTTTTCAAACATTAAATAAAAAACTAAATTATAAAACATGCAGCATGTTTCTGTTTAGAATGATTTATGTATAATGAACTATTGGATTTAAGCCCACTGGTTCAATGATGACTTTTTCGTTTCAAAACACAATGGCTCTGACATTCAACCAGCCATATAATCATAGGCTTTCTAATGTGGAAAAGTCCAAATGAGTACGGGTAAGTGACATGTACCGCCTAATTTTCAAGGACCTTTGAAATGGAGCGGTTTATCAAAAATGTAAACTACTGCCGGTTGATATTAGAAAACAGATTCCACTAAATTCTAACATGACAACTCCATAATGGTATGCTAACCAGTGAGGTCTGATTAGCAGTTTAATAGTTAGTTAATGCTGAGCATTTATCATGTGATTGAACTTTATTTCTCTAAACTTATCAAAATAAGTTAGAGAAGCTTGAATTAACCTCAAGGGACTTCACTGATTTACTCATTTTTAATATGACTCATTGGCAGGGAAATTAGAAAATAGTCTGTGTTGTAAATTAAGCTGACTAATAAAATAAAATAAAGATTAAAAGAAATTTCGAATATAATATAAGTAAAAAGATGGGTAAAAACGTGAACGAATGAAAGTCTTTGTTATCACCCAAGTAGAACAATTTATAAGAGTGCTGTAAAGGAGAAAGTAGTAGATACTGATCCCCTTCTAATAAAGCACTCATAAGGAGTAAGTAAAAATGACAATGTTAAGCTGTAAGCTGACGGGTATAAGGGTATTTCATCAAACATGTTGCTGTTAATCATCTGAGTTGGAAGCTGAGGTTCTTCTCTCCATTCGAGATATTGTTGGATATGCATGATGCCAAAAGGTTCTAAACGAGAATAAATGAATATCTAGTGGTCCTTGATTTTTAGTAGATCCCTCTCACAAGTAAAATAACTGGCCCTATTCAGGTAGGTAGTTACCTGGGGTTCCAGTGGGAAGTCATGACCAGTAGGGTGCAGCAGGTCGGGTGTGAGGACAAATACTCGCCGAAGACATTCGCTAGGGGTCGCGCTATGTCGTGAATTGGCAGAAGTTAGAATTCATGGGCCATTGTATCGGGTCCCAGTGGCTTAATGGTATACGAGCTCGCCTTGTAACCAGAAGGTCCTGGGTTCGAACCCCGGTGGGTGCGTACTGATGAAGAGTTCTAAACTAGGACGAAACAGCTGTCCAGTACTCCCAGGTATTCCAATGGTTCTCTAACCAATGTCAGCTCATGATGAAATCCTGTAACCTAAAATAACTACACTTTATTTGATCAATTTTCGAAATATTTTCCAGATTTCATTAGTTGTGGTTATTCATGTCACTAGTAAGCTTGTGCTGACACAAAGAATAACTGAAAAAACAGTAATTATTGTACATCCCTGCATCCTCAGCAAACGTTTAACGTTAAAAATCACTATCGTGTTCATTCTCGAAATTACTGAGTTTTCTCAGTTGGATGAGTTAGCTGTAAAGTTCTTATTGTTTTTTAGATAATTTCTCCAAAAATAACCTCAACATTTGTTTCTTTACTAACCTTCAATTGTATTGGTTACTTTCTCAACGGCTGGCAAATGTGTTTACTTATAATTTAAATCTGAAATAGTCTACGGTATGATTCTATAAAATGACATGGATTTTCTGCACGAACCATTTCAAAGACATTATTCATATATTCAGATACATAAATCAATCCTTGAGAAGTTAGTAACTTGATTAGTTATCTGTAAAATAATGCGTATTAAAAAGGGTTGAAGCAAGTACTATTCTCTGAATTCTCTTGCAACCAATGGATCACAAGAATCATTAAAATTAATACTGAAAATAATGGAACTCAGACAAAAAGGATACATTGCCACACTAAGCATTTGAATATGCATACGGCAAATTTATATTTGTGCGAACAAAGATCTCTTGTTAGAGCGATGAGAGAAAGAACATACATATGCCATTTAGCGTATTTATCACATTCCACACTTCATCGGTACATTTCAGCAAATGTGCTGAAAACTACGCTTCAACTGGTCATTATCTGGTGACATATTCACTAATATAATCACGCATTCATGAGTGCAAATAACCCACAGAAATCTCACTTGTCTCCATAATTCGGACCTGTGACAATGTGATGACTAAAACCTATGTGATGAGATCGTGAACTCAGGAAACCGACCACTGAATCCTTCGTTGAATAACTGAAATCACAGAATGTCCCGACAACAGAGAAAAGACAGTTGTTCGCAATGAAATCTGCAGTGCTGTTCAACAATCGCAATATATATCGAAAGGTGAAATCACCTCAACAACTCCGTCGGGCAAACTCAATACAGACTCAATAGTGTCTCGAGTACAAAACTAGTGCTGTACAACAGAATTATTCAACTAAAATCGACTGTAAGAAGTACCTGAGAATGAAGAGAACTATTGTCAACGAGGTGGGATGAAAAGAATCAGCAGGAATCACACACCCTACAATTCTCTCAGACACTCCGAGGTCATGATGACTTTGACTCACTGAAACCAAATCGTGGTCGTGAAACCAGCCCATTATCAATATAATTATTAGACGACTGGAAGGAGAAGCACTGAGATTAAAGATTAAACGGGAAAGAGACGAATAATGGGGATTAAGTGGACAGATGATATGGAAACGTGAGGACAGTGATGTATAGCGTAGGAGGAAAGAGGAAGATAATTACACTGTTAGTTGAAACATCCGATGAACTATCAATATTGTGATTAGGCGGATCAGGAAAGATTTTTCAAACAATCACTCGGTCAAAATGAATCGATAATTTTAACTTATTTTACTACTGAGCTGAATCGTGCGCTCGTGATGCGGGAGGATATTGGCCTCCTCTGGATGACAGCCTTCGGCGATGTCGGTGACGTCATCTCTCAGTGTGTTTATGGTTGTTTTCTAGATGACTAGAGCCGCCTACTGAATCGCCAGTGAACAATTTGAAAGTCTACTTTTGCTCTTGCAGATTTCTGCCACTTCTGTGATTTATCGTCTCATTTAGTTTTTCACTGTGAGTAGCCCTTTCAGCTTCGAACATCGTGCATATATTCTATGTACGCATACTTATTTTCGGTTTCACAGAAATGAGACACATTTCCCCATTAGTGTCTGGAGTGCCTTCTCCAGACTTCAAAGAAGAATAAGTTTATTTTTTATGTTTTTGTTGTGCCTTGGATTTATGGTAGGGACTGAATTGATTTTCCGAACCTTCCCTTTGTTTAAGGACCGGTCATTAATCTGGTAAACTGGGTATTTGTAAATGAAAATCTCTTAACATATTTTCTTTTGCTATTACTAGATATGCAGAAAATACAGCTAAATATTTCTCTGTTTTCACTTGTTAAAATGTATTTTTGATTTTCCGGTTGATTGAGTGAACAAAAATGGTCGGCTTCTATTGATCAGTCAGCACCTATTACAATGTTTGAGGACTAACTTGAAGTAATTTGATGGATGATGAGTCTCAATCGGCACACGACCACTCGTCGAAGAATGTAGCTGCATCCAGTCGACGACTCCTAAATGGGATGAAATGCACAATCTAGCTTCCACTGTTTATCACTATCCCCCAGATTAATTCAACTTATCCTGTTTTATTTGATCTCCATATTTTCATTGGTGAATTGATATTTAATTTATTTTATAGATGGCTTACCTTGGATGATTATCCGCATTGTTCTGTTGACAGATCTGCTTTAGGCGTTACTCAGGATTTGATAATCATCACTTCTTAGTTTGCAGAGATTTGATTGGTTACAGGCGTGATCACGAGCTGACATCAGTTAGATAATTTGTTAGTAAATCTAAAGTGAACTTTACAAAGACACAATGTAAAACGGAGTAGGTATACATACAGACAAAAATAAAAGCATATCAGCACATAAAACAAACATACAAGCATGTATGTGTGTGTAACACCGAAATTTCTAATTGTACACCATGTACACCATGTGTTATCATTATTATGATTATGATTATTATCCTTGTTATTAAGCGATTGCATAAATTACGACTGTGTGCATGTATATGTTTATGTGTATGTGAGTGTGTAATTCTAAAATTCCGAATCCCTCGTTGGTTGTTTTCTTAATGAAACACTAAATAAAACAAAAAAGAAGAAAAAAATTCAGTCTATAAAAACTACGTGGGCGTTATAAAAATTCAAATCAGAGTAAGGGAGAAATAATCATCAAAATACGGTATTGTTAATAAACAAATGACATTACTATTATTGTCAGTATTAAATTCATGTTGTAACTGTCTTTAAAACACTTATACTCACTCATTCATTTATGAAAGCGTATTAATGGGGATAAGTTGAAATTCAAGTAACATCGGAAATATACTTATGGACAGTTATCGTTGGTTGCTACACGTATAATAAAGTATAACTTCTGTATAATCCTAAAAATAATATCCAGTAGTATTTCTGATATAGAGAAAGAGATAATCTGTTCACCAACTGATGTATTTGACAACATTCACACTATTACAATGGGATATAATTTGGACTAAAGCAGGGTTTCATTCATTCGTTTCTAAACAGATCAAATGCAATAATCATATTGAATATTCTAGTGTCTCAGATACTGCTTATTGCCATCATCATCATCACCATCAACATCACCTTCAGTTTCATCCTAATCACTGCAAACAACAAAGAACACATCACGTTTATGATTCCCAGAATATTTTTCATCGTATTTATGTAGTATTTGTATGCGTATTATTATTTTCATTCAATGTTAAATATATTCATTGCAAACCTACTTCATTATCAATGAAAAACGATTTGAATACAGTTTCCTCATCTGATACCAACTCATCATCAACCTCATATATTACTACTCCCCTGCCTTCATTTTCGTCGACAGTATCATCCTCAAGTTTGCATACGTCGTCTGTATCACCGCCAACATCAATAAATGTAAAAAATAAATCACTGGGTGTAGACGATTTATTATTTCATTATTTAGATTTTATCACTATGAGTTTGAATCATACTAATGATATAAAAATAACAAATGTATTTATGCGATCACAGAGAACGAAACGTAGTTTGTCATTTTATATGTCAAATTTAGACAGATCACCTCTGTTTTTAGTCCCACTAGCTCAGAATTATACATATAAACCAAGATATTTGAGTATTCATGACAACGGAACTATTAAATTAACTAATTCACATCGAGATATATCTGGTGAGTATTTTCTTTAATCTTTTTTATCTTAATGCTAATTTTGTAACGATTGGACTCTTCAGCCGTAAGTAAGTCTTTTGTCAAATGAGGCATAATGATTCCATAGATGGAAAATCTTTGTCATAGATACTGGAAGCTCATTTAGTTTTCGGTTCAAAATGTGGTTCATGTTTTACCTGACGTTTACTACTACACATAATCAGTTGAAGGTACTGTATAGCATGCGTGAAACATGGTCAGTAAAAACATATCTGCAAAGACTTGATGTGCTTGTTCGCTTTTGAATTAGTAGCACTGAAAGCCTGTATTGAAGTCTCCACAAACGAAGTGTAGCAGTCAGACGCGTTGATCAGTAAATGAATTTATCTAGGATGACCAGGATAATCATTGAGGATGCGGACTCACCGCATTAATCTGCTGTATTAGTGAGAACGCTGTCAAGTTGTAAGGAACCAAAGAGTAGTGCAAATAACAAGATCTTTGTCTGTTGGTTTGATCTGTGTAAGAGAGCATTAGTCGTATGACAATCAAAACCAATGGTTGGATGCTGTAAGTGAATCGTTTTGCAGCCGTTCAGATGCATTCATGTCTTAATTTCATCTTAATTATGATATAACAGTTTATATCTTCTGTTTAACTCGCGAATATGAAGAATGGCAAGTTAGGTCACTTCTCAATAATCCTGATTCCTATATTGATGGTGTCTGTGATCGAATTCATTAGGATTCATGAAATTATCTTGTATTTTAGTTCGTCACCTGTTAACACTTCCTAACAATTCATTTTGATGTTGTCAAACACTGCTGATTACTTACATAACTATAAACATGTTTTGCTATTTTATTCGACTTTTTATATGATTAACTTTGCAAACTTTGACTGAGTTTTTCATTAAGTCACAAAGTTTCTATCATAGACAAATATCGCCTATACAACAGCTGAATACCGAGGAGTGCCACTAAGTTCTGTCTAGTTTTCATTTTTCACTCTTCAGCGGTGTGCATTCTAAAAGAACTCAAACTTAAAGCTGATACATTTCGAAATGAAACTGAACATTACACTGTTTCATTCACCTGTGGGTTGAAATACTAAAGTAAATTTCTGTTTAATTCATCACTAGAGGGATGTTACTGATGAATGAAATCAACCAGCATGCATGTATTTTTATAGTGTAACAATAGGCTTTCTCATTTATTCTGGGTAATGATTTAATGACATCTGAAGTGTAAAATCACTATGATGTATACCAATCATTTTTTACTATGTAACTAAAGTTCACTTTTGTTTTATCTGAGTAATTTTTATGCATTTTATTTTATTATTATTCTGAACCATGTTAGTTGTAAAGTGATTGCAAAGAAACGACGAAATGATATCATCTTGCGAAATTTGTCTCCTAAATTTATTTTTTCCTTCACGTCTCAGTGGTACATAGGGCTCCAAGCTAGAGACTTGAAGTTTCTGTAGCAGTGGTGTTTTGTTTTTACGGGATGGGACTGCTAGCCTCATGTCCAACCTTTCCCTCTTTACCAGCTTTATTACTGGCTTAGCGAGGTAAAGGAGTGCGTCGGCTGGGGATCGAACCCCGGACCATGTGCATGGTCGGCGAGCATCCTAACCGCTGTGCCAACGACGCACGTCTCCTAAATGCCTTATTCTTATTTAAAGTTCAATTGTTACAATCACCGGATCAATACGTCAGAACTTAATCATTCAACGTAGGTTTTGAATAGGTTATGGTTGATTGCAGCTTTATCTACAGTCCTCCATCAAATTATATTTCTGAATCCATATACAATATTTACCTAACCTTATTCGAAACAGAATTCACCTTTCATCTTTCCCCTGTTAACTGCTAAAAATCAATATGTATTATATAAAACTTGCTTCACATGCATGAAATTATTACAACTTAATTAGTGAATCATTATTTACAAGTCAACAGTAAATAAAATGGATAGGTAGACAGACAGACAGACAAATAATTAAACAATCTGCACAATATCATGAGATATAAATAAATCTCCTACCAGACTTTATTGTGCATAAGTAGTATGAATAAATAAGTAATCACAATATGATATTTATTTTGTAATTAGTGATACAATTTCCTGAGATTATTATATTATAAATGTTACTTTAAGGAAATAAAAAACAATGCCTCTCCTTCATAATAATCACTCGTTCATTAGAATATGTCTAATACTTTTATCGATGTATTTGTACATAGGCTGTGTGCAGATACGCTAAGTCCTTTCTTAGAGGAAAAACAAATACATTTAGCGTATTCCTTTTGTCAAGTTTCTCAGAACTACGTAACTCCTAGTGTCGAACAGTATTAGTTTGAAATAAAGAATACCGATTGTTTTCTCTGTTCAGTCAACAATTAAGTTGAGACTATTCCTTTACGTTCCCACTGGAACATAGAGCTTCAAGCTACAGCTTTGATGCTTCAGTAGCAGCGGTATTCATTTTTACGGGATGTGGTTGCTAGCCTCATGCCCAACCTTCCCTCTTTACCAGTCTTATTACTGGCTTACCGAGGTAAGGGAGTGCGTCGGTTGGGGGATCGAACCCAGAACCATGTGCTTGGTTGGCGAGTATTCTACCGCTGTGACACCGACTCATGGGACAACTAAGCTGGTTATTGTCCAATACCTAACCCCCTATATAAGCCTTTTTTTCACATATTTTCTCAATACTTTCAAAGTTTTCTTATTGATTCATGTGTTTATCACCTCATTTGCATGCAGAATGATTAAGCTGTAATAAAATTTATGCACACTTTAGTGTAGTGGTCTAATTTTTCCATACATTTCTACAGACAAATAACAATGAGAGGTAAATGTGCAATTTAACAAGAAAAGTGGAAAGTGTATCGCAAAGATATAAGATTACTGAAACAGATGACAAAGTAGTAAATAGCGTGAGGTATTATTATTTTTAACACGTTTTGGTTAACAACATTGATGACTTTGACTGATGTTGATGTCCTAGTTTTACTTGAACGAAATGAATGACATATCCCGAATATTCACCCATCTGATACTACCTTCTGGCACAGTGGTTAGGACTCTCGCCGACCATGCACATGGTCCGGGGTTCGATCCCCTGCCGGCGCACACCCGATATCTATCGTATGCCTGAATTTGGGCAACCGATATCCATGCTGAAAATTCCACACTTGTACTGAAAATACGGTGTGGAATCAAGCTGTAAATCAAAAAAAAATAATATGTCTTTATGAAAAATTCTAGGGCAGTGACTAATTCCAAAGGAGATTTCATTATGTGCCGACATTACTTAGGGAACGGCTGAAAACTATCTACCAATGAACAGTCACTTTACCTTGGTGGTACACATTTAAGACAACCAAGATAAGAATCCAAGACCTGCAGGTCATCGGGTGGTGGCGCTACCATTCAGCCATCGGTTTGGAATCCGTGGCGCATGAGTTCTAACTTATAAACGGTTTCATATATATGTTTTCATAACAAAACTAGGTGGAATAGTTACACAGATTTGCTTCTGAATTTTGCATGCTAGTGAAGAGCGCTTTTTATCTCTGGACCACGTGTTTTGGTCGGTGGCTGAAAAGCGCAACACACAAAGTCCTTTTTTAATTATGAGTTATAGTGCCAAATTTCTCAGCAACATAACCCAACTTTTTGGAGTCCTGTGTAGCTTAAGTTATATTGTGCCCTATTTATCCATGGATTCTGAAAAGGGGAATGCCATTTAAACATGAGATAACATTTCTATAGATAAATCCTCCATTTAGAACTAATGCATTGATCATCATTAGAGAAACAATGAAGTATTAATTTGTTCTCTAAAATTCATAACAATATATGCTACAGTATTGAGAATTGAACCCTCGACATTCATCTCTCTTCTGATGATACGCTTTAATATTAATTTGCTGGATCGTAAGCCAAAGTGTAATGTTTCTCAAATCCAGTCTATTTACCATTTGCTAACTGTAGGCATCACACTGATTATCTAGTGTTCATTTTTACCCCAACATTGTTTGACTTTGAAATAGCTTCTAAATTGGTCATTTTAATGAAGACTGAAGTTTATGCAAATTAACTGTTGATAAATTATCTGAAAGGCAGACTCATTATATAAATGTCAGCATCTTCATTTGTGTGTATACCTGGAGAGAATGACCTTTAGGGTGTTCGGTATTTAATGCCCTCTGGTAATGTATTATTATTTCATACCATTATTTTAAGGTCATCTATAAGAAATGAGTTTATAAAAAGTACCTTTAGTCTATTGAGTTATTCAGATGAAGATAATCATGAGGTTTTACTATTCGATTTAGAAAGATTTAATTGTATATAAAATGGCACCTCGTTAAAAAATTTAGTAAAACATGATTATAAAATGGGAAAATAATAAATGTTAGGATAACCATGTAATGCTGTTAATATAGATTAAATAAAAGGCTTTCTGATGCTGTGACGCTTATTTAAAATAGCCAGAAAGTAGCTTGACACATGGAGTTCTACATACTCTTCATAATTTATTATAAATGATAATTTCTGAAGTTTATCGAGTGTTTATCATGCAACTGTCATAAGCATACCTCAAATAATTTACATTTCCGCGTTGATTTCGTAATGAATCCATATCAGTGAGGAGAATCAGTGGTAAACAAAAGCTTCATGCGCCTCCTTTCAATCTGGTAGGTTTTTACCGAGTTACTGAGTGTTGGTATGCTCCTAAGCTAGATTTCTAGCGGGATTTGGATTTACATCGACGAAATTTTTTGACTGCAAACTAAATACCTGTACAGTGCCCCTAGGTTTTCAGTAATTCTCCCAGCTGATACCGGTTTGATAAGAATTATGTATTAAGGCTAATCAGATCCACGAAAACCCACAACTTAATTCCTTGTCTGTGTTCAGAAGTATCCTGATTTCTGAAGAGTGCCATGGATCTAGAACCAAAATATGAATTATTCTTGTGTTCTTTTACATCACATGGTTTTC